AAAAAGAAAAAAAAAAAAGGAAAGGAAAGATTTCATTTAGACAGATTTCAGGTTTTTGGATGGTGTTTGGCTCATAGCAAATTGATAGAAAACGTTATCTGACTTGTATTTTAAAATGAGATTTTAATAATTCATTTAATGAGAGGGAATATTCAGTTACAGAAATAATTGGTTGGCACAGCTTTTAGAACAGAATTATTTAGTTCCAGTTAGAAAGGACTGCACCTTTAATCAGGGTGCCTAATTTGATTTTTCACATGTATCTGCCGTTTGTCTGACGAGCACAGTAACAAATGAGTTCTGATTTGTACAAACTGATCAAAATGTAATCAGTGTCAATTACTATCATTGTATTTTACTTCATGTTTGTCAGTTTCTGTAATCAAAAGATGCTGAAAGTGCTTGAAGTCACAAGACATCTTGGGTAATTTGGCTATAAACGTGTGATGTTTTGGCTGTGAAATAGCCATCACTTCCTGTTCTAAAGCTCTGAGACTTAATATTAAAATTTAAAATTGCTGGGAAGTGGCAGTATGTTGTCTTGCTTCTTTTTATATTCTCAGGCACCAAAGGTAGATCCAGGGGATCTAGCTGGTCCCAACCTCCCTCCCTCCCAGCCTTTGGCTGTGTGCTATATGCACAGTGAGCTCTGGGAGCACTATGAGCTTGCCACTACTTGGTATGGGCTCTGCCTGGAGTCTCTGCTTCTCTTTGCTCTTCTCCTCCCTTCTTCCATCCCCCTCTGAATTCAGCACAACAGGGGGAGGGAGAAGCATCCAGTAGCAACGCATCTCCATAGGTCCATGCTTCTGCTTCTCATCCCATTTCCTCCTTTCCTGGCTGCTAAATTAGTGGGAGGGTGGAAAGATGACCAGCAGGTCCTGGAGTTGCTTGAAAGCAGGATCCGGGCAGACTCTCCACTGGTGAGCTCAGAGATCATATGTACACTTCCCACCAGGAGCTACCAACAACTCAGTGGCACCCTCAGGATCACAGCAAGGGACTGTAGCCACATCCCCTTCGGCTATGTGTCTCTTCACTTCTTGTGCCCATCCCCACTGCCAAAAGGGATGTGGCCACATCTCCATTGCTGCAATCCTGGATCTGCCCAGCTTGGTCATAAGTCTTCATGAGAGCTCAATTTCATCAACCCTATTTTATTAGCTTAGTAAAAACTAAACAGAAAAAAGATCACTGATATTGTGTGGAATGACAAAATTGTCAAAAAGCAAAAGCCTTTTTCTTTCTGCTGGAACACTGTAAAAAACATTCAAGAGACATGCATCTGCCTTAAATTGTAGGGACTGTTTACCAACAGAAAACTCTTGTGCTTTTTCACTTCCATCATTTCTTAATGGCAGCAAGTAGCATCATGTAGATGCTCAATGTTTTTGCACTAAAGTACCAAGGATCAAATTAGATCCTTAAAACAAATCTATTTAAAAGTATCTGATATTTTTTCTCAGCGTATTTCAATTTAATGTAACAAGGGGAAACAAATAAAATATCGCTCCTTCCCCTGCTCTCCCCAAAACTGTCACTTATTAAGATTTCCCGTGCCCTCCAAATTGATTTCGTGATCTGTGTCTCTTTGCAATTGTCTCCTTACAGAAGGCATCTTGGCTTTTCTAAATAGAGCCTGGAAATGCCAATGTCCATAAATAACTTGGAGCAGCACCATACTGTTAAGGAAAGAATGATCAGTGAAATAGTTTGAACGATGCACAAAAATAAAAGATTGGGGTACACCTCTGATGCTGAATTCAACTTCTATTTTAATGATAAAGACAACACATTTCTGAATAATCTACTTTAAATTTGATTTGTACCTGGGTTGGGTCTGACACTTGATTGCATCTTTTTAATATTGTAATATTGTTGTCTGACTTCAAACATACATATGCTGTTCCATGACTTAAACTTAGCTTAATACCAGCTTTAATATATTTGCAGATTTAGATTTTTTTTCTCCCGCCTTTGATCTCTTTGCAGATGCAAAAACCTGCAATGAAGTTGATTTGGAAAATTCTGTCGAGTGGGAAGTGAAGACGATTACTAGTGCTATGAAGCAGTACTTGAGGCAAGCTTATATTTGTTAACTATTCACACTTATATTTATTAACTATTCATAATTGAATTCTTAATTGGTGTAGCCTGGAGCTGTGTTACTGTTTTGATCATTTGCTTTTACTGTTGTTTAGACAAAAGTCCACACTGCATGTCAATCCCACATATGTATTTAAGGCACTGGGTATTTATGCCTTAGGAGGAAAAGCTTCATAATTTCATGAAGAGTGTGTTAAGATTAGTGACGCAACTTGAAGTTTAGGTGCGATAGATACCTAAATGTTTGGCTTCCCTCTTCAGAGTTGGTCATTCTTACAAAATTTGCTATTTAAAATCAGGTTAGATTGTTTGCAACCCCTTTACTTTTTTTATTTTGGTAAACCCCATGAAGGAAAGGGGGAGAAATGAATGAAAGTATTTTTAAAATGCAGAAATCTGAAATTGTTAGCATTTTGAAAATTGAAGAACTTGGCCAGCGTTTATATATTGTCATTTTTTCTCTTTTGTTTCTGAGAGAGAATCTCTGAGGTGAGGGGGGGATATAGTTTTAAGAGTGTTGGATCAGTTCTGTAACCAATCTGACTTTCTATTGAGTTATGTTTTTTGTAATTCACAGCATAAAACTTTTTATTAGCCCATTATGGTTTCATATTAGCACAGCATTGATTTTTTTTAACTTAAAACTAAATGAGTGCATGTGGAAAAAGTAAATTGCTCTTTTAAAAATGTAAGTTAGTGAAAATAAGGTTTCATCTACTGCCAGCATAGGTATCTGAAAATATGTGGGAACTCTGGAGTATTAATCTTAAGATTTTCAGTATAACATAGATCAGCGTTTCTCAACCTGTGGGTCACGACCCAAAAATGGGTCTCAACAATATATGAAAGGGTCGCAAACAGACTTTAAAAATGGATTATCCTTTAAAGGAGAAAAACGTGAGAAACCATGGCTTTTCCCTTGCAGGCTGTCAGAGTTCCAGCCTCCAAGAGGCTGCTTGGGGCCCCCCCCGCCCCATATACTGGGGGGCTGGGGGCTGGGGGCAGCGGGTTGAGAGTGAGGGGCAGTGGGTCAGGACTGGCCTTCAATGTTTACAAATAGGTCCTGGTACAAAAAAGTTGAGAACCACTGATATAGATAGATAGGAGGAAAAAACAATGTATTCACATGCGTAAGATTAAAATTGTCCACAGTATAAAATCATTTTATGTATTACAGTAATTTAAAAACCTCAGAAAGTCAGCCCAGGAAATGAGGGAGGTTTAGTCTGGTTCCCATATTGTTCTGTGATTATTTTTATGTAATAATGGTTTTTTCTTGAGGGATAAAATTTTTACTAGTAATTCTGAGTATTTAGCCTGATTTGTAAAGGGGGCCTAATTTTTCCAGTGGTGCATCTTGCAAAGTCTAGTCCCCATAATAACCTAAAGTTTAAGCACCTAAGGTTCCATATCAGCGTTGCTATTAATCTGACAAGTCACTATTAACCAATGGAGAAAATTTAAAAGAATTGCAAATAACTGTTTGTGATCACTGTATAGTTACACAGCTTTCTTGTGAATTTGTGTGTCTTGTGTACAAGAACATTAAAAAAAATCACGATCCTGCTCTTGGGATATCCCAGGAACAAAGAAGCATGTTAAGTGGATAAACCCACTAAGAGGGGGAGTTTTTTGTTTACAAATCAATTCTGTCACACTTCCTTATTTTTACAGCTTTAAAGGAAAAAAAGAAAAAGACTATAAGGGATGAGGTATACAGCATCCCTGTGATTTTTTAATTTTAAGATCTGTGTAAGGCATTTATTTGGTATTAGAGGGTTCACTTCATATGATGGAATTTAAAGTTTGTTTAGTCTTATTTTCCCTAGATTGTGAACTTAATGTCGCACCATTTCCATGTGTGCTGTAAATCATTGCAGTTTGTGAGTTGACCCTAAAAAGGGCTGTTCCCAGTGGAAAGGTAACACATAAGTATTTTTGAAGGGCTTTCCTACTCAGCAGAAATACAAATAGGAATGAACCTATGTGAACTTACTGTATTTGGTGATTCCATGTCATTTTTGTCTTACAGAAGCCTTCCAGAGCCCCTAATGACGTATGAGTTGCACGGAAAGTTCATCGTTCCTGCCAGTAAATATTTGACTCCAGTTCAAATGGAATTTTTTTTTTTTTATGATAGCACTATTGTGGTTCAGGAACAGATGCTGCAAATGCAGTTTCAGGAAAAAAATGCTTATTTCAACTAAGTAAGAAAGACATAGGTATAAAAAATAACTGGGATTTTTTTTACATGGAAGTAAGACTGTTGTATGAAAACATATATAAATATACCATAGGTGCCATAATTTGGTTCAACAGGTGGAGTAAATTTTTTAAAAGTACAGAAATCTTAAATGTATACCATATTGATAATTTCAGTTGGACAAAGTTGGCTTTGGCTTAGTACCTTTCACTGTGCATTTATTTTTATATGAAAATATAAGTTAGAACTGGAGTTGTTTTTCTTCCTGTTTGACTGGTTGTATCATAGTGAACATTTTCTATACAGCACAGTAGAACCCCCCCCTACAGTAGTACAGATTGGTTAAATTTTCACATCCTCTAGTCACAATCTATCTAATCACTTTTTTAAAAATAAGTTTAGTAGAACGCTATGCTAAAGAAAAACCATGCAAGCCCCTGGATCATAAAAGTGATGACTCCTGATTCTTGTTTTCAGTGCCATCTCCCTGTGAGGTCTGTATTCAAGCCAGCTGAAGTTTTCTCATGTATCACTAGAGAAAAAGGAACGTACAGACCAAATTAAACTGTTGCAGTTAAAGAGAAGGTAGCGCAGCAGTTATACTTCAGCTGTATGATATCTAATGTAAATAGAACTCTATGAGCAGAAATTGTATAAGAAGAAAAAAGTTTTGGCAAAATATCAAACAGATATTTCACTGATCTGCTTTCTCGCATGTGGCACTTCTAGCAATCCATGGGAAGAAAAATTAAAGTAAATTTTGAGGACAATTATTTTATTGTGTTGGCCTGCTATTATAACTGGCATCAAATAGCAGAATTCAGGTTTCTCTTCTTTAGAGTGCTTTAACACTTAGAGAAAAATAAGGTTTTTACTAGCTTTAGAGTTGTAAAACAAGAGTGTCTGTCTGCTGCTTATTTGTGGTCATTGATAAAATTAGATCTCTTGTGAAGCTCAGAAGTCATAACATTAAAAAGGAAATATTTCTACCTCAGTTGATACAGGTCTTGTGAAACAGCCATAAAATATCACTGAGGTCAATTTGTAACATTCGAGTTACTTACCTAGATAATAAGTATTTACACAATCGTGTAAGATTGGATTCAATTAATTTATTTTACCCATAGGTTATAACAATATAACAGTAGTTCTGGCATGTATTTTCTCTTCCTCCGTTTCAGTAGCACTCATGAAAAAGCTGAAGAGTTTTAGGGAAACAAGGGTCCAGGTCCTAGATCCAAATATGCTAACAGTTTAGTTGAAGAGAGATTTGAGAAGTAAAGGGGAGAAACACCCCATGTCACATGAACTTTGACTATTAAAGTTTTAAAAAACAGGTTTTCAAATTGTCTTTTTAATCTTGAGTAGAAAAGCAGAGTGTAAGGAATATTTTGAGGTTTTTTAGTAAAAGTGATTTGCATCTGTAATTTTAAATACTAACAATACTGATTGTAATTATTTAGTCAGTCTTTGTTACATACAGTTCAGTTGATGGGGGTTGGACTAGATGACCTCCTAAGGTCCCTTCCAACCCTGATTTTATATGATTCAGTAATAACACTGCACTAGAGTCAGGATTGTACAGAATTTGGCAAGATTTCTTTCCCCGGCATTACAATCTGGTGCCCCTGAATTTTGATAGGCTGATTAGGATTGCCCCTGAATTTTGATTTGCCTTCTGGTAATATTTTTTCCCTGGTGAATTATGACTAAGCGTGTTCTCTACAAATGTATTTTTAAACCTAGAAAAGGAATCATCTAATAAATAAGTATTTAGTATAAAAGTGGTTCTATCTAGGGTTACCATATGTCTGGATTTTCCTGGATATGTCCTCTTTTTGGGTCCTCTTATCTCCATCCGGGCATTTTTTTTTGTTTTAATTATGATCAAATGTCCAGGATTTTGGTCAGCTCAGCTGTGTGAGGAAGGCTGGTGCCTGCCAGCACTGGGAGAAGCTGTCCAGGCTCTGGGGCTGCAACAGGGCAGGAGAGGAGAGGCGGAGAAGGGGGGCCAGGCCCTTCGGGGCAGCAGAGAGCTGCAGGGCTGCCCAGTGGCAGAGAAGATGTCCCAAGGATCCTAGCACGTGCCTTTTTTCATCTATTTCTCTTGCAGCAGCATCCGATCACCATGGGGACTGCAACTTGTGGAGGGGGCTGGGTTGTAGACAGCAGCCCGCTGTGGGGAATAAGGGTTGCATGGGTGGGGCATCCGGGAGATAGAGGGAGCCAAGGGGCATTGACTTGGAAGAGTGGGGCGGGGGACTGTCAGGAGTGTGGGACAGGGCTGTGGGTCTGGAGTGAGGGGCTCCAGCATGGCCCAGGGGAGCAGGGGACTGTGCATTTGGAATGAGGGGCACCGGCAAGGCCAGGGGTCTCCAGGTCTGGGGTGAGTTGCAGCAGCAGGGTTGGGGGCGGCTGTGGCTTGGGAGTGAGGGGCAACGGAATGGGCAAGGCCAAGGCACTGACATATCGCTGCCCCTCACAATCATATACCACCCCCTCCCCACCCCCACCCCTCCAGGGCATGCAACAGATGTCCTCTTTTTTGGAATTGGAAATATGGTAACCCTAGTTCTATCACAGCTAGGGTTCTACTAGTGTCAGAACTTCCTGTTTCATATTATTTCCTATGGCTCCTCATGCTTTTCTGTATTGTTTCTTACCTTCGGTACTTTCTGACACAAAGGGAGGTCTTATAGGCATCTTACGGCTAGTCATTCTTTAAACTTGATTGTTCTGTTCTATCAAGTTAGGAAAAATAGAAAGAAGCTGATTTACTTTTCAGCTTTTTAGAACCCTGCTCTCATCTATTTAATATATAAGCCTATGTAGCCAAAATTATTTCTTCCCTTGGCTATCCTCAAGGAATCCATTTGTTGTTTACACTCAGATTTACTAACTAACTATACCCAGTAAAGGACATAGCGGATGCCAAGAATCCTTTATGTTGGTAATCTAACTCAGCAGTGCAACCCAACTAGGATTGTTTTTTCTTTTTAGTTGTTATCACTTTGGAGCCTGTTAGTCCCCCTTGAATGTTATCCTGTGCAGTTGCTGATGCAGGGCGTTTAGACGCAGTGTCACCAGTTGTCTAGCACTTACAAAACTAGATGTCAATGATGATGATAATTAATAAATGATGCTAAAATGATAAGGAAGTTGTCTTTCACACCTGGCTCTTACAATGAGAGGCTTTACCAGCAACACTATTTCTTACCTTGCAGTATGTTTCTAAGCAGATGAGGACAGCAGAAGAATAACTACATCTGCCAGTTTCTAAATATAGATGAGCAGAGAAAAGCTTCCTTTTGCAGGTGGATTGACAGTCATTTTACAGATAAGCAACAAGCAGGATTACTTGAAAACAAAGCACATATGTTCAGTTTTACTGTATTAAGAGGTGTTTAGTGCTGAAGCAAGCTGTCCTAGGATGCTTTGGTTGTTGGGATGGGGAAAAAGACCTTTGTTTCTTATTTTCAGATGAAGTTACTTATTCCTGTTGTTTTCATATAGAAAGTGGCAGTCCGGAGTCCCGAGTGAGTGCCATACACTTCTTGGTTCATAAACTGCCTGAGAAAAACAAAGAGATGCTTGACATTTTGGTGAAACACTTAGCAAAGTAAGCACCCCAAGTTCATTTTATTACTTTTCAGAGAAGTTACCCCAATATGGCCCCTCTCCCATCACTTTGAGAGATCTGCTGTGGACCAAATTAATTGTAGTTGGAGCCAAGGCAGGTCATGACACTGTCATGTACAATACCAAGAACAAACCTGCAAAAGCAGATGAGAAGTTTGATTCTCACTGTGTGTGTTTTGGAGAAGAGGGCAGAAATCTAATCTCTTAATGAAGCCATATAAGCATTTACTTAGTGACATTGCCAGCAATTGAATGTTTGATTGAAGTGAGAAAAGGAACACTATACTTTCTCTCTGTAAATTCTGGCAAAGAGAATAGTGGAGATCTGTTAGCAAATTTAGGTTGGTTTCACACCCAAGTCCAAGGCTAAAAGCATTGTGCATGTATAAGTTCAATGAGCGACAGCTTTTGTTTCTTAAAATACTGATAGAAAATGGCTTTTCCTATTTTCCAGAATTCAGTATGCTTTTATATGAAGAACCTTTGCACAAAATAAACTTCTAAAACATGGGCTAAGGAAATGTAGTGTTTACATTTGTAAAGTATACTGCATTTTCTAGGAGTAATGGAAACTTTTCATAATTTAATTCCTGTTTTTAACTTCAAATCTTTTTGAAAAGTGTTTCAAGTAATGCCAAGAAGAATCTAATGACTGTAGCAAATTTAGGAGTGGTATTTGGACCAACCTTAATGAGGCCGCAGGAAGAAACCGTGGCAGCCATCATGGACCTAAAGTTTCAGAATATTGTGGTGGAAATCCTTATAGAAAACCATGAGAAGGTAAGACTGTATGTGTGTGTACACTTAATATTTAGACTTTATTTGTAAGCATGCAAATGTAAATACAAGTGTACAAGTAAGCATACAAGTGTAGCATGAATTAACTCTTGCATTTTATGGAAGTGTGTTCATTCTTACATTTTGCATATGTACATATGCCTGCGCTTAGCTACCTTTTGTGTATATTTAAATTGACATATCAACAGGCACATTCATTAATTTAGATGTACAGTTATTCAGTTTATCCATACCTTAGTGCTAGCTGTGCAAAAGAGGGTTTTTATGCAAGGTAAATGGGCTCTTTTGATCCAGTGGACACGATATGAAACTGGGAAAGAGCCTGCTTTCTTTTTTCACCTTTGACACTAATTTTGTGACATCTCGGTCAAAGCACTTAATCTTTTTGCGCTTTTGTTCCCCCCTAGAGCTCATACAATAAAATATCATAATGTACAATGGACTTTACAGGTAAAAGTACTGGGTGAAAGCTAAGCATTAAGAATATTTCTTTAAAAGTTTGGCTGTGAGTTTTATTTTCAAGTCTTTGATCCCAAGCATCACAGTGGTTACAATGGAAATTGCTGATGCTGCACTACATCATTGTAGTTTAAACACACCAGGGGGCCTTGCTTGACTCTGCTGGGCTCTTATGTGTTTTGTTCTTTTTAGATTGTAATGATTGGGAGAAAAGGAGAAAAGCAAAAGCTCGGAAAGCCATTAGCTTGTTTTGACAACACAAGCTGTCATACTAGATCAGGCAGAACTCAAGCAAATGATCTTGCCCTCTCCTCTCACACTCTTCAAGCAGTGAAAGTTGTTACTTTTAATGTCAGTATTGTTACAATTGCAGATCTGAGATAGCAGCCAAAGCTGAATGGGTAAAAGTTTGCACCTTTCAGAACACTTGGTTTTAGTTTCTGCAAGTGAAAGCATCAGCCTCAGTTCATGTTACTTGGTGGGGGAAAGGAGGAGAGAATTTTTTTGTTTTTTTAAGGAAAGCTTAGATTATGGATATTAAGAATTGTGGGGGGGAGGGAAGATAGTCCAACCTATTGGCAATTGTAAGTGAAATCTGGAGCCCTGAGCAGTTTGGTTTCTTCTTAGTTCCAAAGCCACCCTACAGTTTTCCATGCTGAGTACAACACCAGTTTGGCTGCTTATTTTTACTTAAAAGCAGGACAACAATTTCATATTTGAAACATTAGTTACAGTGTTTTTTTTCTTGTTCTTGAAGAAACTGTAGAAGAGAAGTATGGAAAGTACATCAAAATGATGTTGCATCAGCTTCCACAGTTCAGTTTTTATGACTCTTTTCAGATCCAATAGGCTAAAATTTGTATTTTTGCCTAAAAGGTCTTCGGTTTCTGCAGTTACCCATCTTGCCAAGGGTTTGCCTATTCCACTGACCTTTTTCTGCCACTTACAGATGGCTGCTGTCCAAACTGTCAGGGAGCTTGGGTATAACAGGTAGGTGGACTCCAAGTATTATAGCCATATAGATGTGGGAGTGTTGCAGCAGTTGTGGACAGACTAAGCAAGCTTCCTTTAAAAAATTACTTTTTCTTTCCCTGACTCCCAGCAAGAAGTTGGCAGTATATGCGAACCAGTTTAGCAGCAGTCAGGTGTTTGATTTTGCACAGTCATTTTTTGTTGTTTTGAACATCTCCATCAGACTGTCAAAAGATACTTTATATTATTTTTTAGTTTATTTATAGCCCTGTTGAAATCTCAAGAAACAGTCTAACAGCTGTGGGTATAATCCTGGCCTTTTACATACTTCTTTCAGACTGAAATCTGCCTCCTTGCTAGTGATTAGCAGCTGTTCCTTAAGAGAAGCTGAAATTGGCCTTGAGGTAGTGCTGTGGGGTCAAGACTGAGGGGCTTGGACAGAAGTCTGAAGTAACATTTTCCTGGCATCTGCCTGCACAATGGCTGGCTCTAGCATACTACTCAGGAAAAGCTGTTTTTTACAGTAGCATCAGGTCCAATTAAATAGTCAAAAATAAGACCAGAGTTTCTGAAATGGATATTGAATCAGTTGGTTTCCTTCTCCTGTACTCCAAATACTAATCTGCTCAGTAAGTTTTAACTTATGAACATTGGTAAAACTGGAGCACATTATTTATGATGCCATCATGCTGTCATTAGACATCATTAGTGTTCACTAAGTACTGCTGTTGAAGAATCTCCACAATCCATTTCTAGTAAGAGAAATAGTTAATTAGGTTGCTAGCTTTGAAGTACTGGTCCAGTAACTCAAGCATTGTCACTTGACTGAGTCCTAATTAGAGAACGTTTATGTAGTTTGCGCGGTGAAAACTGGCTCTGGGGCTTGCCCTGGGATAAGAATATGTTGCTTAATGCAGAAGCTATTTGCTTAATGCAGAAGCTATTTGCTGATAAGTACACTTATTTTCTGCTTGCTACAAACTACTTGGTGCCACATTCACCTTATTTACAGACTTTTATATGTATTTCCAACTGGTGGTGGCAAGCCAATTACAGTAGCTTTGTAGTACTGGCTGTAGAAGAAAATTAGACTGGTATTGAAATTTTGGAAACAGTGATTGCTGCAGGTAAAAAAAAACAACCCTGAGATATCAGTACCCGACATTAGAATTAAACAAAGACTGAGGATGCAAGGGGACAGATAAGGATTAAGGGAATATCAGTTCAATATTTGTAGTTGTCCAATGTAGATAGGTATAACTGGTGGCTTCTATCTCTGATCCACTGGTGTCTGCTCCAGCTGGAAGGGGAAGTTGCAGAAGCAGCCAAACTAGTGACTGTTGCTCTGAATAACACAGGGGTAAATGGGGAAAGGTTTGCCTGAATACTATTTCATCAAATAAGGAACTATATATCAAAGAAGCTACTTCCCTTTCAGGGGAGCCAGACACCAGGCCATGCGGCCTAGGGGAAAAACTCAAGAAAGTTTCTATCCAGTAGGGGTAGCTATAGAAGCAACCAGAGCCAGGGACCTTCAGACACTGAGTCATTTCTGCAGAACTAATGTGACTTCCTTTGCCTGTGTTGATGGGCTGTTTGCTCCAATTCTTCTTTCCCTCAACTTTCGGGTCTCTTCACCTTAGCTTTTCTTTACATTTTAGCCTTCATAGGCTCTTCTATCCTGCCCTGCTTAATTCTCACTTCAATGTCCTATGTCCCTTTTATTTCCTCTCTGTTGAGCTTATCCCAGGGGTAGGCAATTATTTGAGCTGGAGGGCCAATTAGGGAGTTTTTGATGAGTTGTTGTGGGCCAGGGCAGCACCCTCCTACCCCCCTGCCATGTTGGGTCATTCCCTCCTCTTCCATCTGTCTGCAACAGCTCACCAGAACTCCCTAAGTGGCTCTGCCCTGTGTGCAGCCACACTGATGGGATGGGGATGTGGGCAGACAGGGAACAGCATCACAGGCTGGTCGGGCCAAGATCAGGATTGCAGTGTTGACAGCATGGGCCCAGGGCGGAGCCGCAATCTGCTCCCCATGCATCCCTCCCCGTGGAATCGGTATCCATCGCAGGGATGTTCAGGCAGCGGATCATGGCTCTGTCCTGTCCCAGTTTCAGCTCTGGCTCCAGCCCCACTCACTCATGCCAGTCCTGGATGCTGTTCCTTGCCTCCATGGGTCTCAGACTGGTCCCCACAGAGACCCTGCCTGCCTGCGCTCTCCACTACTCCCAGTGGTGGGTGCAGGGCACATGGGCCAGGATGCCCGGGCAACAGGACTGGGTTTAGTGGTGTCAGTGGAGACTTGCAGTGGCAACTGAAAGGAGCTGTCACTGTGGGGGAGCAAGTTTGGTTGCTGCGCCGCCCCAGTCCCTCTGCATGCCTGGGGGCGGTGGGACTGGCTGCATGCACCATGGCCTGGGCTGCCCCAAAGCTGAGCTGGGTGGAGCTGAGGGATCCACCATGGGCCAGACAAAATCCCTTGGCAGGCCGGATCTGGCCCACGGGCTGTATTTTGCCCATCCCTGGGTTATCCGTTTCTAACAAAACCCATGTTCTAAAATAGAGGAGCTAACAAGACATTTTCTGCCACCATGTTTGTTTTGCTTGGGTGTTATATCCCTTCCTCCCTCTCATCCCATTTCTGTCCATCTTACGTGGTGAGCACTCTAGGGAAGGGGTTCTATACTCTGTTTGCACGGTGCAACAAGGCACCATTCTTTCTTGGCCCGGAGGCAACACTGTATTAACTGATTTAACAATAATCAACTTTGGATGAAAAAGGCCTTGACTTCTCTTCTTTTCCTTTCCTGTGGCACTAAAGACTTTTATTAAGCTTCTTTTTCCAGGAGCTGCTGAAGCCAGGAATTCTTGGCAGAGTAGTGCTAGTGGTCTAAGCTCTAAAATGCTACAGGGATGAAGTGGACTGTGTTCTTATCAGTGTATTATGTTGGTTTTTCATTGGTAAAAGTAAGTCCTTTAAACTGAGATGCTGCTTTTGAAGATGTTACTTATTTATCGGTATTCTGAACTTCCATTTAAAAAAAAAAAGCCATGAAAAAGGTGGAAAAAAAGAAAATATGACAAAACTAAATGGGCTAGAAGATGGGGTTAGGAGAGGAGGGAGAAAACTTTTGAATAAGAATAGTCTCAGTGGGAATTGAATGGACAAGTCTGCTTGCGGGGGAGGAAAGATGAGCAGGAAGGAATGGCAAAAACAGAAGAAAATGAAAATTACAAAGGAAGAAACTTGAGAAGAGGGAACAAAGGGGCCAGACAAGAATCCCTTCAGGAAAGGAGGAAACCAGAGTCTGCGAAGGAAAGAGAACAGAAAGGAAGAAAGGAAAATGAAAGACCCCCACCAGAGAATTCAGAAAGCTTAAACCTATAGGCAAAAAACGTTCCTTTTTACAAGCTGTGCTAATTGCTGTCGGAAGAGTGAAGAATGTGTTCATCCATTTTGCTTGTTCAATTTTATAAATGCTACGGGTAATTAATTAGTTTTCATGTAGCTTAGTTAGAATGTATATTTGAGTTATGTGCTGTTCTAGC